TGGCCCACAAAGACAAACAAAGTGTGTGTGTGTGTGTGTGTGTGTGTGTGTGTGTGTGTGTGTGTGTGTGTGTGTGTGTGTGTGTGTGTGTGTGTGTGTGTGTGTGTGTGTGTGTGTGTGTGTGTGTGTGTGTGTGTGTGTGTGTGTGTGTGCGCATATCTTGGAGAGCAGCCAGAGAGGTGGGGGTGGGTGGGGGTGCAGTCAGCGTTTTTTTCAGACTACATGAATGAGGCCCAACCGAAGTGAGCTTCCTGTGTGAGGGCTATAAAAACAAAACCGGAGCTAAAGAATGCCGAGTGCTCCCACATTCCTGAACATTCTGCCAGGTACAGGACACACAGCAGGTCCTCCTCTCTTCCCTTCAACAAATAGAGACATACAACAATTCCCATGATGCATTTCCATACATTCAAAACAAGAAACATACTAATAACACTAGACTTAATGTTTAGAGCTCTGCTGTTGGTCCATAGAGGTTGTCATGTTCATTACATCCCACATCAGCTACACTGAAACAACAAATAATAGATTCTGTTATTTTCCAAGAGGATACCACATTTTTTCCTGAATTGCACGGGGATCAAATATGAATCTCCATGCATACCTCCAGCCCATTAGATCAATATATCGTAAGTAGAGTTCATTCAGACCACAGGGGGGTGTAAGAGGGAATAATTCAGTATAAAATGAGAAAGGTCCATCCTCTGGGGAGCATGAACATATTCACAAGGTGCCACAGCAATCTGTGTGTTAGAATTAGGCAATTATTATTTGAAAGAGGACTGTATAGGTAGATGCTGGCAATAGTTTAAAGGTTATTGAGGTCACTAAAAACATAAGAATACAGATGTCATTGCAAATATGAACAATACATTTATAGGAAACATGTTGTTTGTCCTTTATCGAAAGAAAACCTTCTTAGCAGCTGCCTGCTACTATAACAAGAAAGTCATTGAGCAATTATATTAATCATTGAGACGAGCTGGAGCTGCCCACGAGTCTTCATGAAAACTATTTTTGGCAAGCAATAAAAAAGGGATTAGTAAATGATGTAATCATGTCTGTAACATTCTAAACCAAAAGATGCAGTTTGTGTTCTTCTTCTGCTATTTCAAACCCTAGCCACCTACAAGAATGGTCATATGCTGTATTTTTTACATTAAGCCGTGTACAAAGTATTAGACACAGTTAATTTGATTTTAGCCTAAAATAATGTTTTATTAGAAGGGTGTAGCATGTCTGAGCCTTTTTTCAGAACAAATGACCTCGCCCTTTGAGAATGGGCAGGGTGCTGTTATACTGAGCTCTGTGGATGATCTCATGTGAGCTGCCTACCAGGATTCAAGATTGAACAAAAACACGTGTATGTACCCAAGGGGCAGTTTGCCTCACAGACAGTAGTCCAGACAAATACATAATAAGCAACACAGCACAGGATCTATATCTCCACACTGTCACCATATATTTCAGGAGAAATAAGTCTAAGCTTTTGAGACGACCCTCACTTGATAAAGGTGCTTAAGGTTGAGTCCACGAGGTTGGTCAAACTCAAGCGGGGGGAACACAGCCACAAAACGTGTCAAAACACCAGGAAACATTTGAAACCTCCTGCAAGGTGCTCCAAACTCAAAGCCCACATGTGAGTCTGATAATGTTTTCTTGCAAAACCAATAATTCTTTGAAATGTCACTGAGCATAGTCATATCTATCATATAATAACTAAACTGAGAAAGGAGAACAAAGACTCAGCTCTTCTCTAAATACAAACTAAGTGTTGCTCATAGATTTAGAGAAGGAAGTACATTTTCACAAGTAAACAGAAATAAACCACAAGAAGTTGAGTTTGAAGTTGAGAAACCATTTATACTATGGACTTACAAAAAACGTTTTTAGCAGCTCTTGTGTTTTAAGTGATAAGACAAACAATTATGAATAGGAATATTACAGAAATGACAATGAAATATCTCTTTATTCAACACGCTGACTGATATTCACTGACTTTAAAGTGGTGAGCAGTAAACTTCTGCAATGTAATGTGACCCCTTTGGAAGTGCTTGTTAGACTTAAGTACATTACATCACACTACTGACACTTGTACGTACTGCACCTACCACACTGCTTTTAAACAATACAAATATTCGGTTTGTGAAACATTTCAGGAATGTTCCGTGCTAAGCTAAACAAAAGAAGAAGAACATTGATATAATCTTTGTTTAAAAAATAGGAACACGTTTAACCTAACACTGCCAGTCACCATAAAACACAGGTCTCTGTAACAGACCAGAATGACGATGGAATTTCCTGCACCATGTGGGGACACAGTGACCATATAAGATTTAAAATGTCAAATGCAAACTGCTAGTGACAGCTGGTATTTTTTTGTTTTGTTTATTTATTTGTTTGTTAGCAGGATACTACTGGCCATATTGAAATGTAACACTAATTATGTTAACATTGTGAGATGGTTCCATTCTGGTAAACAGATTTTTAGCTCTAAATGTTGTAGAAACGTTTACAAGATTAAGAAAAGTTAGACTATAGTGGAAATTCACAGGGGAACCAATTAGAACAAGGCTCAGGAGGTGGCCAGGGGGACTTCAAAAACACACACACACACACACACACACACACACACACACACACACACACACACACACACACACACACACACACACACACACACACACACCCTCTGTTTTATCATAAAGAAACATGAAGCTAGCTTTGTTGCTAGTGGTTCTGTATGTCTTACCAAAAATCAAAGGCCTGTACGGTCCCTGCTGTAATAGAAGACAGATCCAGCCAGAGACCGCTCCAGTAGGAATATGCTGAGTCCAGGCAGACGCCTCGCATTCCAGAAGTTTGAACTCTGCAGGGGAAAAAAGAAAGAAAAAAAGTGACAGAGCAGAAACAGCAGAGTGTGTCTGTGGTCGGCAATGCATGAATTTATCTGACTCAGCAACTACACTCAAATGACCTGCATGATATTCTATAGTACAAGCAATGTTAAAAAAGAAAGAAATTAAGGGTTAAAATGTATAGACAATAATTCTCAAAAAAAACCACAATCGAAGAAACTAAGCCTGGAGCTAAACACCTTTTCAAGATGTACACTTAAACTGATACATTTGTTTATTAATATTTGCACATTGTGACACTGGTTCAATGTATTTCCAGTTGTCTGTACTTACCACCCTCATGCATATATTTAACACTTTGGATGATGAAAAAATGCAGCCCTCGCATTCATTTCAATGAAGCAAGCCCTGCAGAACAGTGTTTGCTAACACTTGAGTCGTCCGGCAAAAAGTTAAACATCGCTTACATTTTGCCAAACCATAATTAGGTGATTTATAGCCAATTGAATACATGCAAGTGGATGGTACTCACATTGTAACCTAAATGCTGTAATTCTACTAATATGGAATTATATGCTAAACCCCGAAGTGTGCATTTTCAACAAGCTAAAGTTGAAAGAAGTACAGTTGAAATGTACAACTCTGAATCTACATGTGACCAGCAAAGTGCAATGGGATACAGCAGCTGTTTCAACACACCTTATAAAAACATAATGTTCTGTGCTTTCATAGTAGCTGCTTGACTTGAAATTTGGCACTGCAATCTAAAACAACCCACTTCCTTTCAACAGAAATCCTGTGTTTGGTTTTACACTTCCCTATTCAATAAAAGTAATTAGTAACTAATATGAAAAGAACACATATGAAGGATGAAATCTTGCCTCAGGGCATTTCCTGGCATTATAATGTGGCATTTGGAAGGCTTTTATCAGCTGAAGCAAAGAGAGGAAGTCAGGGTAAATAAGGTTAAGTGTGAAATTATGTTAGCAGAGTGCAAATGTTCTAAAGAGGGAGGTAATGTGCTGCGGGTGTGTTTGTTTCGGGATGTGAACACAGGTGGCAGGGTAGGACCTATGCCAAGATGACTGAAAGATAACTAGATGTTTCACTTTTACAAACAGAAAAACCCTAAAAGGCCAGTTTAAGTTTGAATTTTTACATCAGAGCTGGGCACAGCGAGGGTGCAACAGGAATAAGGTGTAATCTACACAAGGATCTCGAGACTCTGATTCAGACCTTATGAAGTGTGGTTAAATGTGGCGTCAGTGCCAGTTCATTAGATGGGGAAACACCGTTCTCTCAACTGTTGTATACACTTACTTAAAAGTAAATGTAGGCCTTGTAACTAATTCACCAGCATTTACAATGGTATGATTTAGCTTGAAGTGAATATACAGTATCTGCACTACTTGTTGTTCGGAGTTTGATTTTGTATGGTTTTTGCACTTATTGTAAGTCGCTTTGGATAAAAGCTTTAGCTAAATGATATGTAATGTAAACATCTTGTGAAAATTCAAGTTGATTTCTTTTATTTTTAAACTGCTTTTGAGCTATGATAGAGGTGTACATATGTTGAGAGTAGTAGATGATCAGCTGGGAATGGGTTAATCTTAAATGTACCACACTTATAACAAGAGTACAGGATGTTTCAGGGTTACAATCGGTGAATTCCACTAAGCCACTTCAAGTCAAAAGTCTGGTTGGAGAAGTGATGACCACTTATTGTGGACATGTGTTACTTAAATGGTACCACAGCTTCAATAACAAACTCCCGGGAAAATCCCACTCGATCTCTTCTATCCTCGATGTTTTCAGCCTTTGGCAATGTAACGGTTTAATGCTTTGTTATCATGCTCCCCCTCTGCATTTGAAAGGTTAGTCTGGCGATGCTTTTGTGGTTTCAAACACTTGACGTTTGTGTTTGGAATGTGTTCAGCTGCTGACACTGCTCGTCTCAAGAAAAATCCAAGTCTGAATCAGGAGCTGTTGCTTCCTGCATGCTAGACTGTGGTGAGTAAGAAGCCCCTGCTTTTCTTAGAATAACAGCCTGACAAAAAAAAATGACCTCACTTAAAAAAAGTGCAGACTGCAGTGTTTTGTATGACGTTAAACGATACCAAATTAAGACAAAAACACCATTGCTCTTATCTTATGCGGGTTTAATATTGATTGTTTTATAAAAGATCATTCTGAAGTGTGTATGGCAAACATTTATCAGTATTACTAATTCAGAACAGCCATGGCTTATAACTGGGAAGAATGTAAAAACAGGAGCACCCATTTCCCCGGGCGTTGGCAGTATTGACAGAAGGCCTGAGGGATGAGGTAACTACAGGCGCTGTGCATATCGCTGAGTTTATGTAGAAAATGAAAACCAGAATATACATTACAATATAAAGGAAACAAAAAAGAGATGGTGAGAGTTTCCAAGCGGACCTAGTTCCCACATGACAGGATATTATTAGCCATGCTATGGTGAAGCTCCACAGATGGCAATGTCGGCCTGTTGGCCATCGCTAATCATTGTTTAAAAGACATGCGTGAGGATGGAACTTAGAGATTCAGAGAATTCTCCTTTAGCGTCATTTCCATGGAATTTGGAACATTTATTCTTAGAGCCAAAAAGAGAAACTATGACGACTTTGGTGATCCCCTGATGTTTGGAGCACCACCAGCAGGTCAAAGTGTTCACTAATACAGCGAAACATCTGAAAACGTTTGATAGTGGCATGACAAAACATCTATCGATAAGAAACCTCGGGGAATATGCAGCTCGCAACATTTTCTATCAATGTTTCGGAATTCAGATTTCAAGCAGTGGCAGCAGAGGGCAGAGCAGGGGTCTTGATGGATAATCTGCTGGTATTAACATAGAAACATATTTACAGAACTGGGAGGCTGCCTCTTAAGATCCAGAGGTGATATAAGCTGCGTCTCTTTGTTATCTTCTGCTCCACATCACATCTGTCCATTTGGATTCTCATCGGGCAAAAAACACCCTGCTGCAGAGTGGATTCTCCTCAAGTTGGTAAACAAGGCATCAGCATTGGAGATAACTGTTGACATGCAAATAAAACAAGATGTGGACGCGTTATTTCCATTAAGCAATGGTCTGCACTTTGGTTATCTTGTTGATAAGTGGTGGAGATGACAGCTAATGAGAAAAATATGTTCTGACCTTTTTCATTGTCTACGAGGTCACAGTCATTCGCTCCGGCACTTTTAACAGAGGCCAGATGTCCCAGATGGCTGGCCGGGCTTTGCACAGTCAGCAGATCTGCGAGCGGAGCGTGAGCTTAGCATGAAACACTGACACGGCTCACCAGTCCTCCAGGGATGCAGCCGAGGAAACCTGCAGAGCCACAGCCCTTTCGTTGGGCTTCTGCCAGTATGAAGTGGGACAGTTGCTACATTACATGGGTTGACGGAACGTTAAAAGGCAAATTAACTTGTCAGCATGATCGGCTTTTTATTGTCTTTTTCCCTGAGTTGTTGTTGACTGTATTCAGAGTATTCGTCTAAATCTCACTCACAACTACAAAAGATCAGTTATTTGAAATACTGGACAAAACACAGGACCAACAAACAGCTTTCTGTGAAGGAGGAATTTATTTTGATAATCTCTTTAGGATGCAGCCAACACCATGAAGGTTAAAAACTGCAGATGATCCGTCTAAAAGTGTGTGTTTTAAAAAGGTGAGGAACCCGCTACCCTCTAACAGCCTCAGCACTACACCAAAAACAAACCCTGAAAAACAACATTTTGTCGACACAGAATCAGATATCCGACATGACAAGTGTCCATTGAACTCATCCCTTAAATACTGCGGTTTCTTGCTGTGCCCCGTGTGAGGCTGTGCCCCCGTGTGAGGCTGTGCCCCGTGTGAGGCTGTGCCCCCGTGTGAGGCTGTGTCCCGTGTGAGGCTGTGTCCCGTGTGAGGGTGTGTCCCCGTGTGAGGCTTTGTCCCGTGTGAGGCTGTGCCCCCGTGTGAGGCTGTTCCCCCGTGTGAAGCTGTGCCCCCGTGTGAGGTTGTTCCCCCGTGTGAGGCTGTGCCCCCGTGTGAGGCATGGGTTCCTTTAGTCAAAGCAGGTTCACCTCTCTCTGTTTTTGCTGTACTGTGAGAGTTGAAAATCACCCCAGGGTCCACTGTTAGGGGGGGAAAACCCCACAATCGAACATTACTGTCTCCCATAAAAGACACGGCCCTCTTTCAAAGCACAGTGATCTTTTTTTTTCTTCAAAGACTGGCAAAATGTGTAGCTTTGTAAAAACAAATAGAATATATTTCTACATATACAGTATATAAAGCTTGTTAAGAACAAGTAACAAAAATGACCAGAGTGATGTAATCAGAAGGCACAGCGACACCGTAAACATTGTGTTCAGTTCGTCCAAGAATAGAGAGATACCAGGAAGGGCTGAGTGTTCCCAGAAGGCAAGGTGTCAGCCGCTCCTGCAGTGGCAGTCGCTCATCAACATGAAACGTGAAATGTTGCACTGGGACTGTACGCAGCACCCGATACGAGCTTTCCTCTAACAACATACAGACCATTGTTGCACCATCACTATAATTGAATCTCCTTTAAACTATGACTGTCTATAACAAGATGGCCGTTCTTCGTTAAATGACAGTCTTCTTCTAACACAAGAACATCCAGGTGAGCTAAAATGTGGCCAACGCACACAGAACCCTGGGTTTTTGCTGAAATGTTTTTATTGGAGTGCATCATCTTGAATGTCCCTCCCTGCTGGGTGAACAGCCTTCACCAGTATGTGCTGCTGTTGGCTGGCTGAAGGAGCTGCCGAGTCATTGGTCACCGAGGTCTAAAGTGAGGGCCTGGAACCAGCGATCATTTACGCGTTGTCATATTTCTGCAGAGCCTCCTCCAGCTTGCCTGTGATTTTTTGGAAGAAGGCGATCTGCTGCTGCAGGTAATGCTGCATCTGGGCCTTGAAGTCGCGCACGCGGATCTGGTGGAAGTGCTGGATCTCCGCCAGCGTGGCGACGGAGATGATGTTGCAGCGGTTGTCGATGCCTTCTGCCTGCGCCCGGTCCATCTTGCCTTCCTCCACATGCTTCTGGCTCTCCTTCACCTTCGTCAAGGCTCCTGTTGGGGACAAGAGAGTATTTATTTATAAAGGTGAAATCATCCACATACTATTTAAACCAGTGTGGGAAAAACTGCACACTAAGTAGACAACAATGTTCCTTAACAGATGAGTTGTATTACTTTTAGCATTTAACTCACCAAACAGTTATCTATAAAACTCTTTCACAGGAAGTTTCATTAATAATCTCATTATTATTTGCTATTAAAATGTAGGAACACAGCTTGACAGTACATCTATAACTTCAAGGATTCAGCCTTAAATAGTTTGTTCCAAACTTCCTGAGAACCAAGGTTATATCTGTGTCTAAAGTAAGAGAATTTGAGTGGGCCTTAAACATATCTATTACATTATGTCACTTCAAACAACCATTTAAGGGCATGTTGCTGGCAGTTAGTTACCATGTCAGTGTGGTAAGAACTAGCTATCGTCTAGTGATGAAACCATGGCAATGCGTTATTACCATGATGTATACAATGATCATGAACTGAGGGGTGCAGACTTTTTCTCCAAACAGCTCTGGCCTAAAAGTAGCACAATATCCTGTGTGTAGCTATCAATAGCATAATTAAAACCTCTTTCACAGGACTCTCAGGTCATAACTCGGATGGAATCATTAATAAAGTCAGAGACATCGCCATGAAGCTTTTTCAATACAACTGGATACAAAAACAAAGTCCACTCTTTATGGAAGTTTAATTGTAATTTATACGCTTGATATTTGTCCCTCATTGTCATTTGGCGGTTATTGATGTTGGACATTGCTTTGATCAAAACAAGTGATTTGAACTAAATCATGACAGATGGCACCTCTGTTACGCATTCAACACAAAACTATACCTTGCAAACATGAATCTATATCACACTCATACTGAGAGTCCCCCCTCTCCGTTCTGCCAGTATGAGCTGACGCTGTCGTCACTGTGGCTGACCTTTGTGGCGTAAGAGGATGGAAACATGATGGTTTACCAACCTCACACTCACACATGTCAACCGTCACGGCTGCAGTTTTGCTTTCTGCAAAATAAGCCTTCAGCCATACTGGTGCCTAAACTAGAAAATAGCCGACAACTTTTCAGGCGGATGGTTTGATGGGAGCGGAAGGCAGGGTCAAACACCAAGAGCAGATGACCGCTGACTTATCAAACTCCTGACCAAGTAAAGTAAGAAATGTCATGAGCCGTAGAGTCTGAGCTGAAAAGAAACAGAAACTGACAGGTTAAGACCTTCTGTCGGATCTAGCTACTTTCAAATGTGTACATGCCACAGCTGGAGTGAAAAAAACCTCTCTGGGCTGTGACATGAATGCTAATGTGGGCTATGCATTTCTTAGTGTTTTTCGAAGAATTTGTAATTGTCAAACATGATTTTCTGATGTTTTACTCTATTTGTAGGCCAGAAAAATCAAATGTGAAATGTCCCCCCCTTTTTAAGTAAATATGCAGCCCTTGGGATATTTTAAGTAGAAATAGGTGGTGAAGCCAAAAGCCTCATTGGAAAATATGCACACAATACCAGACCGACCAATGAATCAAGTAATGAGCTTCCAGACGAATGTTTCACATGAAACTTTAGAACTTGATCGGAAACTTGGATGGTTTTGTCCCTTGATGATGTGCCAGAAACGTTTGTTTACTTAATAGTTGTGTACTGTGACGTAAATGGTGTAAACATTCAAGGCGTCATAGAAGAAATGAAGTAAGACTAGTGTAACTCCATCCGTGGCTTAAACAGAGTGTCATCCCCGACATTATGGCGGAGTGTGAAGGTGACACATGTTCCCCTAAGGCACGCAGCAGTACTTCCTGTATTGGCCTATCATGGGATATTCTTGTCATTATGTGAACTTAGTCACCAGCAGTCGGATGTAAGTCTGATTCAGCCTGCTTGTTTCCTGAAATGTGAGACCACAGAAACCCTTCTGACCTAACCCTGCACTCGTTTGGCTTCCGTCGACCCTTAAAGCTAACAGAAATACCTTATGACTGCCTGCTCTTACTTCAACTCACAACTATTAACACGTATGGCTTTTTATTGGAGCAGACAAATAAATATGTTGAGAAAATCTCCAAGAAAATGTTTCGCCTTCCCCTCCAATGTCTGCGCAGTTAGATTTGTGGCTGCAGATCCCTCAGCTGCAGCTTAATCCCAAATCTTGGAAATTCCTGTAATGCACAACAGAACCTGACGGAAAGAGAGGCAACGGGAGCAGAGACAGGAGGGAGGAAGAGAGAGAGACGCAGAACACACACAGCTGTCCAAAGACTTAAATGCCAGTCCCAGAGGTGTTTACATGTACCTTAAAGGTCTCTTGCTTCCTGTGTTTTAAAAGCTCACTAATGGACTAAAGAGGAATAATTGTTGCCATGGAGACTTTATGAGAAAGGCAGGAGTTCAGTCAAGACGATGTGTCAGCAGACTGTAACACACAGAGAGCCACATCCATTTCACAGCTGCCGCAAGTAAGCTTTGCAGACCTGCTGCAGAAACACAAATACGATACTGTCGAGTAGATATATAGAGGAATTCCATTATAGTTAATTAATCTTCTTGATGTGTTCTCAATAACTTGACTGTGTAGTCTATGAAATCTCATAAAAACAGTAGCATTGAAATTTCCCAGAGACCAAGGTGAACTCTTCCTATTTCTTTTTGTTTAGTCCTTTAACCTGAAATACATAAATGTCCTATCATAAGTATGCAGAAGCGTCACAGTGAGAGTTTATAATACAACACACCTATGTGTATGTCTTTGTAGTAAGTGTTACCTTCAGATAGATAATAAAACAAAATGTGAACTAGGGTGCTCAATTAATCGTATTTTAATCGCGATTACGATTTTGGCTTGCAACGATTATGAAAACAACATAATGGAAATAAAACGATTATTTTTTTTAATTGGTTTTTCAGTTGGATTATACTTAGAGTTCAGGGTAATCAACTGTTAAAAACATACTGTTCAACATGTTTTCAAAGTAAATGGATAATCGTTTTTAATAATCGTGATATCAATTATTGACCCAAATAATCGAGATTATGATTTTTGCCATAATCGAGCAGCCCTAACGTGAACACATAGGATATTGAGCCATGTTGTATTGCATCTGATGTATTGTTTCACAAACACTGCTTCTGCCATACTCTCTGTCGCATGGTACTGTAATGAGTGAATAAGAGGACGTCCATTTATGAGATACATGTTCCTGCTTGAGAAATTAATCCTGATGAGCGCCTCTGAAAAAAACCTTGGATGTACAGAGGGAGGTGGCATGGAGCCTGCTGGTCTCACTGGAGGCTGCTCTCCAGCTCTTACATAATCCCTGATTACACAACGCTCCTGCAGGCCTGTGACCTGAACAACCAGCGGCAGTCCCCGTCTCATCGCTCCGCCACCTCGTGCATTTAAATAGCCTGGGTCAATATAAACTAGACACAGCCAAAGTGTTTGCACAGGAGTTTCAGCTGATAATGCTGACTCAGCAGGAAAACCTGACCTCTTTATAAATGGGTGCTTTCCCCAAACCCGCCTGGCATACTTTGATCCCTTCATGTGGGGATAAAACAGTGATGAGATCAGACTAAGTATAACTCTCAGTGACGTGCTCAAATGGTCAAATTAACAAGGCAAGGAGAAGACATAAATAAAGTAAAGATGGGGATAAAGTGGGTCAAGCAAAAAGCTTTTCACCAAATGACTTATTAACCTAATCTTATTTCATCACGGTAGGCTTAAACTTACTCTCCTCTAGTACTGGAGTTGTGTTCTGTACGCAGTCTTTGCTTGATAGCAAACTGATTGAATTAGAGGGACAGACCATTGTAAGCTACAGTATGTGAATGTGATTAAGGACATCAATCAATCAATCAATGCTCATCAATGTGTGCTCCTCCCTGGAAACTGTCTATTTCCTTAGCCTGATGGATACTTGACTTGACATGTTTGTTTTTCGCAACTGAATAAATCATTGTTCACATAATTTGAACTAAATTCATAATTTGCCCTGGTCTAAAGTCAACTAAACATTTTTCCTTAAAGAAACACTGCAGGCAAGATCAATATTATCTCATTGACTAAGCAGCATAACTGGCTGTATTTTAATATTCTCTTGACAAATAGACGATGTTAGCTGTGACAAAAAAAGCATGAAAATAAATGTTACATCTCCAAAAGCCGGCGGAACATTTTCAGACTGCATGTATACAGATAAGTTTTACAATTTCATTGACCCATTCCTCTAAAGCAGGGATCACCAACTACATTTGTCCAAGGGCCAAAATGTATCCAATAGACCAGGGGTGCCCAACCAGTCGATCGCGATCGACCGGTCGATCGCGGGGAGATTCCCAGTCGATCGCGAGATGTGTCTAAAAATAGAACAACAATATTCTGTTTTATCGTTCATGTCCTGTAACATAATATTCCTGTGGCAGAATAATGCACATGAACGCATCAAAGTTTTGTGATTGGCCGGCGTGACCCCATGTGTCGGGGCGTGGCTGGTGAGCAGTGGGCAGTGCACTCGTTCGCTAACGTTGTCCGTAGGAGTGACAGTCCGCACACACACAAGACCGCAATTATGGCAGAAGCAAAACATATATAATTGTCACTCCGAGTGGGAGGATGATTATTTTTGTATCTATTCCAATTCAAAGTGCATCTGTCTCATCTGCAATGCGAGCGTGGCTTTATCGAAGAAGGGTAATTTAGGAGCGGCATTTCAAAACAGTGCACAAACGCTACGAGACGGAATTCCCTCCTAATTCTGCCCTACGCTCCCAAAAGGGGAGGGGCCTGAAAGGACAGCTAAATGCACAGCAGTCCATTTTCACCAGGCCCAACAACAAGAGCAAGGCTGCTTCCAGAGCATCTTATCGTGCCAGTCACGTTCTTGCGAAACACATGAAGTCTTTCAAAGACGGCGAAGTTGTGAAAGAAGCATTCCTGGAGGCTGCAGATAACAGAAGCATTTCAACAGGTTTTTGATATGATAAAATCATA